CTCTAATATATAATTACAAGTTTTAGAATAAAAAATTAATAAATAAATAAGTAAAATAAAGAGATAAGATATATATACTAGATTAAAAAATAATATAAATAATAAAATAAAATAAAAAGATAAGATTAATATTCTAAAAAAAGATAATAAATGAAATTTATTTCTGAATCATTTTTGAAGTATTTCTGAATTATTAATAAATTATTTAGGAATTATTATTGATTTTTGAGCTAATTATATATTTATAATTCTGAAATATTACTAAAATATTATAAAAATATTGCTAAATCATAATTAAATTTATAATTAATATACTAATTAAATTATTTGAAATCACATACTTCTAAAAGATTAATTAATTAATCAAAAATTCAAGATTTAAAAATTTATATTACTATAATAATAATAATAATAATAAAAAAATAATAATAAAAAATTTTTATTAATAAATTTTTAAAAATTATATTTATAATTTAATATTATTTTAATTAATAAATAATAAAACTCTTGCATTTAAAAATCTTTTATTATATTATAATTTAAAAATTAATAATAATAATAATATTAAATTATATTAATATATTTTTAAATATAGACTAAGATAAAAAATTTTATATCTTAAAAGAAAAATTAATATTTATTTTAATAAAAATTATTCAAATTTTAATAATTTTTTTATTAAATAAAGAATAATTTAACTTAATTTTTTTATTTTAATTTCAACTATAAATAATAAATCAAGTAATACTCTTTTAAAAAAATTATTTTTTTAAAATAAAATATATTTTAAGTATTATTAATTTTTAATATTAGAACTTTAAATTATATAAGCAGATTGTTTTATATGTAATAAAATATATTTCAAATTTTATAAAAATTAAATAAAAAATTAAGCTTTAAAATTTAATAATTAAATTATTTATATTTTTATATTAATTTTAATTATATATTTATATAATAAAATTTATAAAATAATGATTTAAAAAAGTTAATTTTTTTTATAAAAGATATATATTTAAATAAATTTCAATATCTAATAACTAAATTAAATAAGATAGAATTAAAATTTTATTTTAAAAAAATAATTATTAATATTTATCTAAGATACAAATCTTTTTGCATTAACTCATATTATTAAAAACAAGAATTTATTAATAATATCATTTTTTTAATAGGATAATAATTCTAAACTTATTATAAAAAAATGAAAAATATTAGTTTAAAATGCTATTATATTTCTTATCTTACGATTTGATTGGTTTATCTCTTAAAAATCAAAACAAATCCGGTTCAAGAAAATAAAAGATATCAAAATTTAATTTGAAATATTATTATATAATATCGGCGAGACAATGATCTTTTTTTCAGCTCTAAGCTTAACTATAATCCTATCACCTTTTAATAGTTGCCGTCTCACATATGATGTGCGCATTCTTATTGGGCGATTAACATGTGATCAGGAATCGGACCCAATTTTATTGCCCTTAAGCAAAGGCTAGAAGATAGATGTTTATAGTGTGCAAAACGGTCAAAAGAAAATTTTCACAATACTAAAATTATTACTCTTTATTTTATGATTGATTAACAGAAAGTAACATAATGTGAAATTGTATTTACACGCGAGCAAAGGAAAAAATAAAACAACATATTGTTAGTAATAAGTGATGATGATATTGATTTTTGATCGATAATAATCAACAAATATAAAAACTATAATACTAAAAATAAAAAGGAATAATCAAATAAAATAATGAAAAAAGGGAATATTATTTATTTTTTATTACAGAACTTTAACATTTTTTTTTAATGAAAATGCTATGAACTAACGCTGAACTCAAAATGAATAAAGATCGGTGATTTAATATAATCCGTTTATTAATTGAGATTGATAATGTTGATAGTATTGATGATATTGGTACGTTCATGCGTCATTGTTGTAAAAAGTTCCGTAACCGTTTAGCTTCCTTGATTCTAATGCATGTAGGAATAGTTATAGATATAAATGATGAAATCAACATCAAGAAATATCACGAGTAAGATTATTTTACCTTTGGATTATCGGGACTATTCTTCCATCGTTCAGCGACCAACTTGAAAGCAGCTTTATGTTCGAGATTCGGATTCTCAGCTTTCACTTTTGGAAGTTCGGCTTTCATGAAAGCGTTATATGGAGATAGTTTTCTTTTACCACCTTTTAGATAATAGAAGGAAAGAAAATTGTTGGTTTTTCATGTTTTATATAATGTGTCATTTATAGTATATAGTGTTATATATATATATATATGAACAGTCGCGCTCTAAGTGAGCATAAGAACCAATGTATTAAATAGAGAAAAAAAGCGCGAAATAACGTGGACGTTAGGTATTCGCTTGCGTTGAAAACATAATATTTTTCCTGACTTAGGAGACGACACGTTGCTGCATTATGGCCATTTGAAATTCTATATAGTGTATATATACATTCATATATACACTATATAGTATTCAAACGAGTGGCTCAAAGTGTTCCTCCTATCAGAGGTCGCCCTGCGCGTTCATAGAATGACGAAAGCAAGCAAAAGAAAAAATTTAATATAAAACCAGAAAAACTCACCAGTGGCGGCTTTCTTTGCAGGTTTTGCCTTGGGCATTGTGTAATTTAGCGTCGAGTAGAAGCGGTATTATGTGAGATGATGAAAGAAAAGTAGTTTATTTAGAACAAAATATTGCGGCAGTGTTGGGAAAAGTAGTAGTAGTTGTATATCGATAATAGATAGTTGTGAACGTATGGTTCAGCGTAGTAGTATTATTAGTCTTATATAGGATATTGAACTCACTATTATCATATCATATTATGCCACTACTATACTATTATTACTAGCAACACTATTATGATTATGATTATGATTATTATTATTATTATTATTATTACTACTACTACTATTATTATTATTATTATTATTATTATTATTATTATTATTATTATTATTATTATTATTATTATTA